CAGGGGAGGTTTAGATTGGATGTAAGGAAAAATTTCTTTACTGAAAGAGTGGTGAAACATTGGAACAGGCTGCCCAGGGAAGGGGGGGAGTCCCCCTCCCTGGAGGTATTTAAAAGACGAGTAGATGAGGCGCTTAGGGACATGGTTTAGTGGGCATGGTGGTGTTGGGTTAACGGTTGGACTCGATGATCTTAGAGGTCCTTTCCAACCTCAATGATTCTATGATTCTATGATTCTATGATTCTATGATTCTATGATTCTATGATTCTATGATTCTATGATTCTATGATTCTATGATTCTATGGTGCCAGATGATGACTGAGTGAGTGGAGGCAGTCCTGGGACTGAAACATGCCCTTGCCTGGGAAGCTACTCTCAGCCCTTTTTGGCTTTTCAAGCACCAAGATAACCCTCTATCTCTGAGGGAGGAAGAGCATTTCCGACAGCCAGAGCAGCACAGATGGTGCAGGGAAGCCTTCTCTCCTGCAGACCTGTCTGTAAGCTCCATCAAGAGGAGCAGGTGGAGAATGGATGTAAATTCAGCGTTCGTGTCCAGAGACAAGCAGCAGAATGCATTAGCAAAGCTTCTGCTAGACCTTATCTGTGAAAACATTTGCTGCTTTTGGTAAGAAATAGGTTTAAACCTGGAAAGGGTATTTATGTGTGGGCAGGACAAAGTGGAAGTGGTGGTGTGAGGCACGTTTGCAGTGACGGCACAAAGCACGCCACTTCGGGCATGGCGCAGGACACTGCATCGCTTGGGCTTTTTTCTAGGATTAGATTTTAAGAGGTACCAAATTCCCGCTGAAGTCTAGCTTATTATAGATAACGGTCAATGATCATCATTCTCTCTCATCTAGGGATGATTGTTCAGGCTCACTTCAATAAGGAAGAACAGTTTTCTCTAGTTTTCAAGTTAGTCGCAGCCGATCTCCAGCTCTCCCACTTACGGCACAAAGGCATTTGGCAATGGTTGTACAACGTTACAGTTGTAAAGCTGTAACACCACTTTTGCCTGGCTTCTTGTTCCACTGAGCCATAGCTGCTGTCTCAAGGGTGGCTTTCTAGATATTTGCACAAGAGCGTAGAGGTGAAGGTGCGTATGCACAATTAGAGAGTGTTGGATAAGACTTTCCACGCACACAGAGCTGTTAACGAAAGCAACTGGCTATTTTTGTAATTCATGAAACCACCAAAGTGACCAGTGGAGGTTGGTCTAGGCCAGGCCCTACCCGGCAGATTCTGCAGGTCTGGTAGAGCCTGTCTTACTGTCTCCTTGAATTGCCTTGGATTTTTCCAGGGTTATTTTGTGCTGTGAAATGTGCAGACCTCTTTCAGTTAATGTGAAACTAGCTAATCAGACATCACTGCATGCCAACAGGTTGGAAATTTAAGTAAAATGTACTATCCAGGCCTGCATCTGGAAGGAAGGTTTTTAGCAACATAATCATTGGAGTAAGCCTCCTCTCTCTTCCAGGCTGATTTCAGATGTTAGCAAAACACTATGCATTTGGTATCTTTTGCCAACCTTCCTCTTCTGTAGATTTTCTATTAAACACGTAAAATGAATTACGGCTTTTCCGAAAAAGATACGTTTGAAGGCGATCCCAGATAATATGTTTTAAGATTAAAATCCATTCGGCCCCCGAAAGTGGTAATCCCTGAAAAGACAGGGTGTGGGTCTGTCTGCAAACAGAAGATGTTTCTTTTGTGATTTGATAGCAGAGGAGGAACTGAGAATTAGAAGATTTATGGAAAAAGGAAAATTATGTGGGCTGATGAACTTCAGTTTGGGGCTTTTATTGAGATTTGGCCCATTATCCTGATGATTAATACAGCAGAGCTAGCTTCCTTCTCGGAGGCTGAGCTCATTCTGCATGTGTTTCTCTCACCAAAACAGTGCTGGTTGCTATGAAATCCCCAAACAGCTTTTGTCAGTGAATCAGTGTTTTCAGAGCCGTTAGCTATGGGAAGGGTTGCCTGCAGTGATATGAAAAGGCTTTTTGTGCAGAAATTCAGACACGATGATGCGTTTTGAATGCTCCCCCAGAACTCCTGAAAATAGGCCATGCCAAGAACCTACAAACGCTTGTCCCTCACTCTGCCCACTGCTTTCAGCATCGCTCTGGGGACGCTGTGCAGGTCTTCAGCTGCTGTAACACAGAGCTGTTGTGCATGTTTGTTTAATAGGAGTGTCATCTTTTGGAGCTTTTGAAACTCTTGCCTGTCTGTACCCTAGAAACCTAGGTGCCTTTATAAGCTTGGCCTGTCCTTTTGTTGCAGAGGAATGGCGAGCGAATGGGGGATATTAACCCTTTGCATTGAGACAGGACTCCTTGGCAGCAGCCGGCTGCTGTCTCTTGCCAAGGTTTCTGCAGCTGCTAGCGCTATTTCTGCATCGCTGAGCCCTGGCAGGGCTCTGATCTCCGGAGTCTCTCCCATGGTTTTGCAGCAATTTCCCATCTGATGGCAAATGGCTCCTACTTCTGGGCACCTGTCTTGGTTGCTTCAGCTCTGCCCCATCACCCTGCCCTCTCACTAGCTTTCTAGGGGAACCTACCCTTCAATCTGAGTACTCTGGGATTAACCCTTCAGTGATTAGTGACTTTAGTGGGCCTTGTTTAGAAACCAGCAAACTAATCTCAGGGCTCACTCACACTGTTGGGCCATGGGCATCAGGGCCTGCATCTGGTTGACTCATTTCCCACGTCTGGTCTCTCAGAAAGAAGACTATCCCATTTTTTTTAGCACCTACTAAACTTGTTTTGTTAAAAGAGGACTGAACAGATCCCCATGGGGTTGTATGGCAACATTTGTATGGCTAAAGCATTACGTGGTGAGGGCATTCAGCTGCTCTGCTAGAACATAGCAGGTGCTGGGGCTACGGGTTCATTTGAGGACACTGGCTCTGCTGGGCAGTGTTGCATGAAGACATGTTGATCGTTCAAGGTTTGATTACAGCCTAAGCATCCACAAAGGCTTTGGGTGTAATGAACACGTGTGCCTGGTCACCTTTTTATGATTGGAGAAGAGATAAAACTGTTGTGTGGGGTGGAAAGCATTTCTCCCTGTGACTTCTTAGTCACAAAGCCTAACCTTTGTGCGTTGTTTTCCTCCTGTATTTTATTTCACAGGTGTGTAATACCTCATTTCTTACTCTGCAGACTCAGCTCATTCAAATGGTGATATGGATGCTCCAACACCGGCTTCTTATTCAGCTTCACACTTACGTCTGTCTGATGGTGCCACCAAACGAGGAGGATTTCCGAGCCCAAGATGAAGACATGCCCTTTACTGCCAGAGTTGGGGGCCGAAGTTTAAGCACCCCCAATGCTCTCAGCTTTGGCTCTCCAAGTATGAGCACGCTTTTCTCTGCTGTTCAGACTACAGCCCACTTCTAGAGAGAGCTTCCCTTAGCAGTGCCTAGGGTAATCAGGCCTTGGTAACAAGTCAACTCATCTTTGCTGGAGTGCTTGCTAATTATGTCCAGCCCTTCTTAAATTTAGAGTTGGGCATTGGTGATAGTCTTAAGGGCTATTAGACCTTAAATTCCTGTTTTTAAAAATAAGTAGTGCTTTGTAATTTGCCAAGTTCTCACTTGGTCATGTAAAATATTTTTATTTTGTCAGAGGTACTTCTGTTTTTTCGAAGTAACTTCCTACTTCCTTGCTGTATGCAAAAGTAACCGCCATGTTCCTCTGGCTGCACCGCTGTTACCGCATGAACTGTGGTTTCAGGAGAGGAAGAAAATTTGTTTCAAACAGCAGTGGTTTCTGTGGGCTGTAGAGCCACCTAAGGAGATGCAGAGCTAGCTGTTGTTCTCACAAATGGTTGATTTCTGTTTATGTCTCCTGATTTCTTTCATCTCCTCAGTGCCATTCTTCAGGGTGATTCCAGGAAAGCATTTTTTCAAGAGTATAAATCAGATATAATGCTGAAATCCCCACACTTTCCTGCCTGTGCTGTTACGAGCAGCATTCTCAGAACGCCACTGAGGCTGGATATCGGGAGAGACTCTCTGTACAACTTTCAGCTTTACAGAAGTCATGAATTAGGGCAGAAATCTTGGAACGTGAGTCAGATAAGTCTGCGATCTGCTTATTCTGGCTCACTCACAAGAGGATATTGCTTCTTGGCCTTTCTTTCTGCTTGCTCCCACCTTCTGTGCTGTTAGGCTTTTCATGTTACCACTTCATGGTATTCCAGCAGAGCTGGCTGGGAATTTTCTTTTCAGATGTTTTTTATGGACTGTTTATGGTCTCCAGAAGTACAATTTTCCACATAAATTGATGACTTTGTTGAAACATTTGACTTTCCCATTGAGAAAATCGCTGTGTTGTCATATGACTGCAGATACATGCAGCATTTCGAGAGCCACTTTCTTTGCTCTACGAATCTGAAGGGATTATTTGGAAAGACTGCATAGAAACAGCCTGAATTGATAATCTTTGCATCATTATGCTGAGGAATATAAAAATTCTGTGTCTCTTTCTCTCTTCCCCTGATAGCTAGTAGTGATGACATGACTCTGACAAGCCCTAGCATGGATAATTCCAGTGCTGAGTTGATACCTGGTGGGGACTCACCCCTAAATAAAAGGATGACAGAGAATCTCCTAGCAAGCTTGTTGGAACATGAGCGGGAAGCTATCCTTAATGTCCCTGCTGCCCAAAATCCAGAAGATCTTCGCATGTTTGCAAGGTAGGAAATGAGGAGTGCAGAATGTAATGATTTTTTTCTTATCCTTGCTGTTTTATCGAAGGATTGGTGTGGACTCTGAGCAAATCCCGTTAGCTTGGGATTTTGGAAGATAAATTCTTTTGGGTGTGTTCCCCTTATACCTATTTCATCTGTGCACATCAGTTTTTGACAAAAACGAATGTATGTGTCACAAGAACACTTGTTAACAAAGAGTCCTGGATGTGTGAAGGAGCATCAGGGCGTATGGTTGGACAATAGGGACTTCACTGTTTGCCTGCCAGTTTTCCTGTGTCCACACATGGTAGACATAAAACTGCGTAGCCTGAAAAAACCTTCTAAGCATGCAAAGCAAAGACCCAGTCATGCTGATGCTGTCGTTTTGTGTCCGTTGAGATTTCCAAGCCAGCTATCCTATATTTTAAGGTTTGTAAACTCCATGCAAATACGAGACAGAGAAACGAGCATCAGGCGCAAAGCCAGCCTGAATACTTCTACAGACCAGTCTACAAAGGTTTCAAGGTCTGTTTTGCAGAGATGAGCTGCGCATTACGTTAGGTTAGTTCGGTTAAAGTCATTAGGCTGTGTGATTAGTAGCACCCAGTTTTGTTGTTACAAATTTCAACACAACAGAAATATGCAAGGTGTGGTTCTGCACATGGTAAAAAGCAGAATGACTTCCTAACCGGCCATCTGGGAAGAAGGTGTGGGGGAAAATACTTCTTCTTCCTAAGCATTTCAGAACACGGTGGCATCGCTGGAATGCAACTTTCGCCGGTTTTCATACTTGTGGAGCAGAAAACCACCTGAGGCAAGTACTGCAGCTTTTCCTATACTTCCCAGATGCAGTTGGTAATCCCCTGAAAACCTGGTTCTTGCCCTAGGATGGATATAGTCAAGTAGCCTGGAGAAACTGTAATAGCAAGAAAATACTTTTCCTGTCTGTGGCAGAGTTTGCAGCTATGCTGTGCTCGGGCATTTTCATAGAGCTCTCCCAAGCTTGTGGGTAGTTACTGCTCTCTGAATAACTCGTCTCCTTCTCCATCTTCTGTAAACTGTTCAGAGGATGCTCTCTGATTGAGAGGCAACACTTTGGCCGTTAGAGTGCTTTGAAATGTTTTTTCCTCATTACCAGATAAGTCATTACAAAACCAGTGAGAAAGAAAAGTAAAAACAAAATCATGATTGGTGATATCTTAAGACAGAATTTGGGGGGGACGCTTTGGACCAGTTTAGTGGCAATGCAGATTCTTAGTTATCCTTTGGAGAGGAAAGGATTTCATGATTGCTCCCCTATCACTTCCCTCATCTGGGTAAAACAGCCATTTGAAAGCTTTAGAATTGCAGATGCAAAAAATTACTTTGATTCCTTCATAAAATCAGCTGCCGTAACCAGGCAGCTGTCTTAATGACGTTTATTTTGCAGTTTGCTCGTGCACCAGGTTCTTCTGCAGATCCCCAGGATGGTTTTGCTAAGTCTGAATTTCCCTTCTATTATAGATTGAATTGACAACTGCATAACTTACTCTTAAATCAACAGTGAGGAAGAGAGAAGATACGATAAACAAATGAGTCCTACGGGTAGGATGCTGGAGTGTACAAATAGAAATGTTTATGCAAGACGCTCTTGGTTACCGGTGGCTTTATGAGACACCAGGCCTTGGAGGTTGTGGGTGTATTTTCTCTCTTTTTGTGCCGTAAACCATCAGAGATGAGTGTCTGGGTAAACCTATTGCTCTTAATGAAAGTGTAAACAATTGTGGAGAAGCCGCTGCAGTGAATGAGCTGATCTCCCTCATTACCTCATACAGGTTACTGCGTCAGCTCTTCTTTTTGCTTCGTTTTGAGAAATAGCAGCCTAATGAGGGCTGTGCTATCGCAAACGGCTCTGCTGTATCTGCTGCCTCCCAGAACAAACTCCTGCTATAAATGCATAGTTAGTGCACTAAACATACTGCAACTGCCCTTCCAAGTATAGTTGTGTGTGCACACAAAGGGATGGGCTATTTTCAGCAGAGCAATAAAGTTCAGCCCGATACATTTTCTTGTGTCTATGCCTCTGAACGCCTGTTATTCCTTAAACATGGCCGAAAGGGCTTGTGCCTGTCCATTGCTATGCACAGCCGGTATTTGCAAGGCAGAAACCTTAAGGGGAAACAAGGAATACTGAAGCTTGGCTCCAGCATTGGCTGCATTAACCCTCGGAACATTGAATGGGAATTGAAATCCAAGTTCTTTCCTCAGGTGCTGCTGGAGGAGGGTTGGCATGTCCTTCCAGAAGTAAACTTGAGAAGGAGACAAGTTCTTTTTGAGCTAGATCTCCAGTAATGTACACAGTGTTCCTCATTGCACATTAAGCAGTACTTTTAAAGACAGTTTGAGGCTTCACTGATGGCTTCTCTCCCAAGCCATGGGTGTGGAATCACTTTCAAGATTCTCTTTTCTTGCTCTTAGATTGGGAGATGGAGGTTCTTTACTCCACTGAGGAATGCTCATTGGTGGCACTAAGCTGTGGACAGTTCTGCTCCATCTTCAAGCAGTGCTGGTGGAAGGGGTGTCTCCTTGGCCAGAAATAAGCTAATTTTATTTGAATGACTAGTCTGAGATGATCCTTTTTTTTTCAGTGTTTAAGAACACTACACTGCTGTTAGAGGAGTAGCTCTTATAACTTGAAGAGGGGAGAACAGTGATGAGCAATGGAAAACAATAATCTTCCATCACCGCATCTGGATCTGGAAGCGCACATCTGCCAACAGACAGAGCTGTGCAGCTTCAGAGGGACTCAAATGCAGTGTTACTGCCCCAAGAAGTGCGTCTTATGGCCCGTTTGGGTCCTACAGATGTTAACTGCTCCAAAAGGCAAAGGTAGTGCCCATCTTTGCTGGAGCTGTGAGCCCCAAGTTACAGCTTTGTAGATTCTAGTTGGACTTTTGAAAAAACTTCTTCCCCAGGAGGGGGGTGCAGCCCAGGACAGATTACCCAGGCATGTGGGGGGACCTCCGTCCTTGGAGGGTTTCAGAGCTTGGCTAGAAAGAGCTACAGCATTGGCAGTAATCCTGCTGGAGCAGGATGCTGGACTAGACTTTGGAGGTGTCTTCCAGACGGCATTTTTGTGATGTTCTTTAATATCCTCTCTAGCTTTTACTGGAGTGGAAAGTATTTCATCTTGACTGGTTACATATCCAGACTCTTTCTGAATATAGGATGAATTTATTTATTGGAAAACTCCTGCTTAGTCTGCGTTGCAGTTGAAAGCCAGGTCTAATTGCACGAAGACAGCTGTGCCAGGAGGTGAGAGCATGGGCAACCACAGTGAGCAGCTTTATAGAAGGGACGGAATACATAGCTTTTAAAATCTTCACAATCACTTTTTGAACAGTGATACGAGTTACAAGATACAAAAATTACTGTTAATACCTCAGGGAACAGTCTGGTTTTGACACATGCACACACAAACCCACCCTGTCCCTGCTAACGGCCACTTCTCAGCGCACTGGTTGCCATCGGCCCAGGGAAGGAAGCCAGTTAGCCTGCTTGAAATACCCAGTGGGAGATACTGCAAAAGGCAAATGCACAGCCCAGATAGTGGAAAGGTAAATACGACGGGAGCTTGTCTGTCTGTTCTTTGTTTGTACTGCAGGTACAGAGACGTAGCAATTATGTTCTACATAATGGTGCCAACTTGAGAGCAGGCAGATGAACATCAAAGCCTAAGGGAGTTCGCAGTGTGCTGGGGGCTGCACAGCCCCGGGCCGCCTGCAGGGATGAGGCAGTGAGGTTCCCGGCTCTGAGCTTACATACAGCTGTTTGGGGAATGAGAGGAGGGACGTGGCGCGTTGGAGAGCAGAGAAACACAAATGGCAGCGTACTGGAGGTAAAACCTACTCTGTGCAGTGTAGAGGGAGGGTGACTAGTTGCACAGTGACTCCTTTCCAGTCACCCATGAAGGGTAATGGGTGACAGGAGTGCCTAGCCTGAGCAGCGGAAGACAGCCAGGCAAACGTCAGTCCTTCAGGGAAAGCATGAGAGGCCTCACCCTACTGTCACGTGAAAATAGGCAGGAATGCTTTAAGGGATATTTGGTGTCTTTCGAGGGCTGTTCCTGCATGAGGACTGTATGAATGAATTGGAAAACAGATCTTGTCATCTCCATTCATTTTTACTGTCAGTTGGCATGAAGCAGCAGGCCAGCATATTCCTAGGCTGCAGATGGGTATGGCAGCACGAGCAAAAGCTGCTGAAGCGCAGAGCAGAATGTGATGTGTAACACATGTGGACGCACATCTGTCTGCATAGCTGGGGAAGTGATTCTGGCATACGCGTTTGGGCCTTGACGGGTAGGAGTATTTGAGCGACATGTGCAGTATGGTTCCTCCGTTTGGGAGGTTGTTAAGACAATTAAGAGACTGAGCAGCAAACTCTAGCTTTGTCTGGAGGGCTGGCTTGGTGTTACGGCTCTGAAGGGTCTCTGGGGAGCAGGTCCTCAGCAACTGGGGACTTGCTGCAGTGAAGAGGCTGCAGCGGTTTGTCTTAGACCCGGCTGTGATTGACTGCAGGGCCGAGGTTATCTGATGTCTGTAGCATAACGGTGCCCAACAAAGGGGTATCTATCTGTGCCACCTCTATTTAAAGAGAGCTGGGAATTTAAGAAGTCAGTGTGGTTTTAGCTTAGACTTCAGGGTTTTAGAGCTCTTTGGGGGCTTTATAACTCCCAGAGCTTCTCTGTGGTGCCTTGTCACCGAAGTTTCCATCTCCCTGTTGTGACTGCTCCTCCTGCCCCAAGCTGACCAAACCTCAAGAGCACACGACCTGTAGTTACCAAGCCCCTTGGGCTGCTGTGAGGGAAAATATGCGAAAAGCAAGTGCAGGTACGCAGGCCTGTGATGCAGAGCTGTGACGAAGGGCAGTGTAGACCCAGGTAAGAGAGGGCAGAAGTAAATCTGCCACTTCCTGACTTCTCAAGGCTTGTTGGCACTTGTGGTTCCTTGCTTTCTGGAGTTAAAACTGTGTTGAAAATTGACAGTCATCTCAGGAAAGGCCCCAGGCTAGGAAACCTTTTGATACAAGGAGGACCTCTGCAAAGCCCCGAGGAGGGGGAGTCCCCTGCTTTTCCAGGGGATTTCTGTGCTAGGCATGCCTAAGGTAAGAACCGATTTAATTCACTTCACTTTTCATGTAAATGAGGGACACAACCCAAACACCTTCTGATTTGCATCCCAGGGGAGAGGAAACCTTGAGGGTGGCAGTATCGGTTCTAGCTGCGTGCACTTGCTTTTGGCCCACGTGCCTCCCTTGCTCTCCTTCCCCGCAGGCTGCTGCACTATTTCCGAGGCCGACACCATTTGGAGGAGATCATGTACAACGAGAACATGCGTCGCTCCCAGCTCCTGATGCTGTTTGACAAATTCCGCAGCGTGCTGGTGGTGACCAGCCACGAGGACCCCGTGATTTCAGTTTTTCAGTCTCTCTTAAAGTGACCCTACTGGCAAAGGAAGGGAACCTGCTACACTCTCCATACTGATAGTCTACAAGATGTCTAAAAACTAAAGGAGGCCATTTCAATTCCTTCTTGCCATGTGACATAGAGCAGTTTCTCCCCCTCCGTGCCTCAATTTCCCATCTGCTTCCTGTGGTGACAGCCGAGGACAGTCTGTGCGAGGGCTCTGGGGCCTGCTGCAGGACAGCGTGCGCTTGCTCAGCCTGGATTCCTGCCGCACCATGTTCACAGCACGGGAACTGCCGGCGCACAGCCCTTCCCTGACCCTGCTTTCTCCCCAGGGCTTCCGAGAGTGGGCCAAGAAGATTTCCACTGCAGTGTTACTGACAGTCACCTTTGGGTGGACGCTGGTGCACCAGAACTGCTTTCTCCGCTCTCCAACATGACTGCTGGGTCATTCAGCCGCGAGCACCGTTTGTGAGCAGCCTGTCCCTACGGCAGAGCGCGCATGGGCTCTGCTCAAGGGCAGAGTGGAGTTGGCCTGGCTTTTAGGGAAATGTCCCTGGGCCCCGAGGAATTCTGTTTGATCATCATTATCTGGCAGCAGTGAGGACATAGGTAGAAAGGCAAAGTATCACAAGTAAACCGTTTCATGAGTAAGAATGACTCGCTCGCTGTTACAGCTTATTGTTTCCCCAGTATCCTTATTACTAAGTGTCCATTGGAGCACGGCTGTCACCAAGCAGCCCTGTTTGTGGGTTTTCAGGGTTTCCAGTTTTTGACTGGGGGTGGGGAGCTTGGTTGTTGAGCAGGACTGAAATTAGCTGGCCAAGCTGCTAGTGCATGGACATACTAGTTCCACACAGCCAGAGGCTGGTGCTAAGGGCACTCAGACTTGTCCCCCAGGGCTTGTTTTGTTCTTCCATTCCCCTCCCTGCAAGCGTGGCTGTGGCTGCAGGGAACCAGACTGGGTTAAAGCTATCCAGCTGAAAAACAAGATACAGGTCTTTACATGGCTGCGTTTCCTGATCTGGTTCAGGACTGCTCCTCCAGCCGTGCCGGGGCTAGAACAAGAGGCGACAGCCCTGTTTCTGGCGTCGGCAGGAGCTTATGCCAGCTCACCCCCAGCCTGCGTGAGGCCACTGTTCCCCACAGCTGCTCACTGCTCTGTGCTGCATACCCAGGGAAGCGGGGCGGGGGGAGACCTTTACCTCCATGGCGGTGGATTCCAGGGGTGTATGTTGTTAAAAGACTGTCAGGCTCCTCCTTAAGACCGTCCCTTATGCCACACACACAAGCTGGAGTTTTTCCCAGAGTTGCAGGCTCTCACAGAGCAGCTTCACTTGCCCACACACAAATTGGGTGAAACTGTGAGCTTTATATAACTTACCTACCACCAGCAAGGCACAGTCACGCCGGGAGAGCCCAGTGTCCACAGTGCACCAGATACCCGATGACACCTACTTACTCACGGTCCCTTCAGTGAGTCTTCCCCTGCAGCCGCAAGCAGGGATGTTGTAGAAGAGCAAAAGCAATATCCGACCTAAAAATCAGATCAACATTGCTGAAGGGCCCCAGTCCCAACCAGCCCCCATCAACTGCATCTCAAGGTGAGCTACTGAGATCGGCATAACAAGGGCTGTTCAGAAGGGGCCAAACAAGATTTTTTTCATGTGATGGGGACGAGGGTTTTGAAGAACTTGAGCTTTTTTCTTGCATATGAATCCTAAGGGGAGGGGAGGGGGGTGGGGGTGTGTGTCCCTGTCACCCTTCAAACTGCCAGCGTGGCTGCAGTTCTGCGGGTTCTGCCCTAAATCCTATGGGTTTTTTCCCCCTGTACCTCATGGCAGGCTGCAGCATCACAGAAAGCTCAGCGTCAGTGCTTTCTCTGTGTTGGGGTTCACACCCTGGTAAGTTCTGAACTGGTCCGAAAAGCAGCTGGGAAAACAAACAAAAAAATTCTTGTTCTCTAAGCTGGATGTTATAGACTGGTATAGGTTGGAAGGGGTCTCTGGAGGTCTTTTGTCAAAACCTCTGCTCAAAGAAAATGTGTTAGGTCAGGTCACTCAGGAGCTTGTCCAGTGGAGGTTTGAATGTCCCACAGCCTCTCTGGGCCCCTGTGCCAGTGTTTGACCACCCTCGTGGTAAAAATTTTTTCCATACAGCTAATGAGAATTTCCTGTTTTCCAGCTTGTGCCCATTGCCTCTCATCCTGTCTGACAAAAGCCTGGCTCTGTCTTCTCTACACCCTCCCACTAGGTAGTTGTAGACAACAGTGAGATCCGTCCTTTACCTCCTCTTCTCCCAGCTCTCATCCTTTCAGTCAGCCCTGCTGCCATCCAGTCTTTTGACTATTCCCCTGCGGCGGTAGTTGTAACAACAGTGAGATCCGTCCTTTACCTCCTCTTCTCCCAGCTCTCATCCTTTCAGTCAGCCCTGCTGCCATCCAGTCTTTTGACTATTCCCCTGCGGCAACCAAGCGATGGCCTCTACTGTGGGCCAGCATGTTGGGGTTCACACCCTGGTAAGTTCTGAACTGGTCCGAAAAGCAGCTGGGAAAACAAACAAAAAAATTCTTGTTCTCTAAGCTGGATGTTATAGACTGGTATAGGTTGGAAGGGGTCTCTGGAGGTCTTTTGTCAAAACCTCTGCTCAAAGAAAATGTGTTAGGTCAGGTCACTCAGGAGCTTGTCCAGTGGAGGTTTGAATGTCCCACAGCCTCTCTGGGCCCCTGTGCCAGTGTTTGACCACCCTCGTGGTAAAAATTTTTTCCATACAGCTAATGAGAATTTCCTGTTTTCCAGCTTGTGCCCATTGCCTCTCATCCTGTCTGACAAAAGCCTGGCTCTGTCTTCTCTACACCCTCCCACTAGGTAGTTGTAGACAACAGTGAGATCCGTCCTTTACCTCCTCTTCTCCCAGCTCTCATCCTTTCAGTCAGCCCTGCTGCCATCCAGTCTTTTGACTATTCCCCTGCGGCAACCAAGCGATGGCCTCTACTGGGGGCCAGCAGCAATGGGAGCAGCACAGAAGGTCAGAGCTGTGAACCTTCACCACTCGCCCACCTTAATTAAGCCTGGATCCACTGGCAAGGGAGACAGTGGCCTTCATCGTCCAAAACCAACCTCAGTTCTGGCTGGGAGACCCACGCCAGTCTGCCCCACAAATAAAATTCCACCTTGCCCCATTCATTATGATAAAGTACATTTATTGTTAAAAACCTCCAAGCCACTCTGTCTGCCCTAGCTGCTGCCATGACATAGCTTGAAGCTGTCATACAGAGCACAGCTCAAGTCCTGGCCGGTGGCACACTTGCAAGACTTGTCAGCTGCAAGAGAAGTGTCCCATTGCTGCCATCTCTCTCTCCGTTTTCTTGTCTACAACACTCACAAATTTGTTTCCTCGTAAATAAAACCTGAGAGGTTTCTGTGCCCACTCTCCCCTGTTGCCAACACCAATCCTTGTTGTGGCTACCACGTCCTGCTCCCCTGGTAGGTCATGTCCAGGCGCCATCCAGATGGCTGCATCTTGAGTCAAGTCCCTTTGGTCAAAAGCTTTATCAATCCCAAATGCTTGGCAGAGCTTGGAGGGCCCATTACACAGCTGCCAGTCCTTCAGCAGCTTTGTGGGTCCTTTCCTTGAAGCGCTGCGCAGCTCTCTCATCGCATCTAAACCCTGAAGAGGTTCCAAAGAGCGAAGTAATACTGCAGCCCCTTCCCCTGTGCAGAACAAGAACCACGTGTTAGTACAGGGCTGTTCATCAAGAACGTCTCAGCTTTCAGCCCCACCACCAGCAGGAGCACTTCAGCTCTGAGCCTGTGGCTCAGCTTAGCCTGATGGAGCAGGGGATTGCCTGCTGCGCCCAACCACAGGGTCTGTCCTCCTCTCGGGCTGCTTCGCTTCAAATGCCAAAGCCTCTGGAGTGAGCCGCTAACCCGTGGTCAGTGCGCTCCCTTCCCTCTTCTGAATGTCCAGTGTCCCACAGCTATGTGTCCTTTATGCATCAGTGCTGACTTGCTCTTCCCCAACCCCACTTCTTGATGTTACTAAGTCTAGCTGCTGCTCCAAGGCTCACCAGAGGGCAAGAGGTTTTTCTTATGTCAGCACAATGTTCAGGAATAAATACACATATGGTTCAGTTTTGGCATAGCTATCCAAAGCTGCTCCCAAACCCAGTGGATTTATAATAAACTCTGATTATAAGAACTCCAGCTAACGGAGGAGGAATGAGTCCAGATGCCACTGGCAGAAAGAGGCAGCTTGCAGAGTTAGGCTGGACAAAGAAACCTGGGAAGGAGCTGCAGGCACCGGGAGCAGCTGCTGTCTGTGCTGCTGCTGAGGGAGCCCTGGCTGCAGGTGTTACCAATTCAAACACCCTCTTGGAGGTGTAACAGCAGGTGGGATGACCATGGCTTTGGGTAACGGCATAGCTACAAGGGAGAGCAGTCCGAACCCTTGTGCCAGGGAAGCTCTCGCAAGACAGGGACCTGGGGCAGGACGGGGCTGCACCGTCTCTGGCTGTGGGATGCACGGCCCCGGGAGCATCCCTCCATCAGAGACCTTTCTGTGACAAGAAGTGAAGAAAACTGACAGATTCTCTTCTCAAATGTGATTTGCCACCCTGTCAGGAGCCTTAGGAAACTCCAGCTCCCCACAGCTGTTGTGATCAGCTGCCCTCCCTGATTTTGGTGACAGTGAAGCAAAGATGCAGCTCTGAGCACAGACGTTCCCCTGTGATGAGGATCTCCAGCCTAAGTGGGACATAAACAGTTCCTTGATACTTTCCACTGGACAGCAAGGAAGGTCTTCTCATGACCTTGAGTGGGTGAGGAGAGAGCCTAGTAAAGCAGTCTGTGTGCTGCCCCACACAGCACCCCTTGTGCTGGGGCCGCCCACAGCATTCCTCCCCGCCAGCATCTTCGTGCTCGGTGATGCCGCTCCACAAGAATCCCCTCTCCCTCTCCAGCCTCAAACATCTGGAGCCATGCTCCCTCCTGGCAAAGGCTTTTTTTGTAGGCACTGACATATCCCTAAGGACCTGCGATTTCCAAAAATAGAATCCCTCTCATATTTTGTATAAATCCCACACTAAATTACCCTCCTGGGCTCCCAACTGAGCCTATCAACTGAGGACCTGATTTCTGGCTTTTGTGAGGTGTGCCTCTTGCCCTGAACCTGCTCAGAGCCCCCGCTGCCCTCAGTACAGCTCGGTGAAGTCAACAGACTTATTTCCAACAGCTGTCAGCAATCTGTTCCCAGGCACTCCCTTCTCTAACGAAGGGGATTGATGCTAATCTGGCAGCCAAAAGCTGCTTCCCTGTGCTACAGTGATTTAGAGCTCAAAGGTCATTTTAGATTTTTAAGAACATGTTCCATGTCCTAATTCTGCTTTTCATCCATGCACAAAGAAACATCCTTCGCATCGGGATGCTGCCTCACCCACCAGGAACAACTGTGAGATTCTGAGCAATCCCTAATTACACTAGTACTTGCCTTCATCCAGGACAAATGCAAGTGGAAACCGTGGTTACGCTTTAATTGAACCAAGTCCTTGGGAGTTCACGTGAAGAGAGACAACTGCAGGTGCTCCCAGAGCATCAGCAGAGCCGCGGCAGCGGGTACCTGGCATTTCTGTCTCTGGCTGCTCTTTCTGCACTTCTA